GTTAAATCACACACAACAGAAACATTACAAATTTCGCATGCACAGCCTAAGATATCCAACTTTACTCCATCCTATGTCAGGGAGTTCTAACAATGTAGTGGATGACGTAATTCTTGCCTGACATTGAGGCTGACTCTAAAAACATGTTGAGAAATGTCTGCAAATGCAAATAATGACAGAAATAACTGGGTAGATATTATGCTTTTATGCCACTGTGTGCCTCATGTTGAAAGTTTGTTCAACAGTGTTACCTGAAGTGCAGAGCAAGCAGAACTGCATTGTCCTTAAAAAACACCTTCAGGACTGGTTAGTTATGCTGTTGATTAGAAACAGAAAATCTCACAGGTGTAGTATGGTTTGCGTTGGGGATGTTTTTTTTCTGTTCCATAAGCACTGATCTAGAATTTAGATTACATTGCAAGCCACTGAAACTCTTCATCCATGCTTAATGAATTTTTATACTTCAGCATCTGAAGCTGGAGGATGCTGAGCAGTGGACTGTGCTTTGTTCCTTCCCAGCTTCTTCCCAGGAGCAGGACTGTGCATGTACTCTTCCACAAGCACATGCTGTGAACAAGTGCTGCAGGGACAAATCAGGACTTGCCCTGTAACTGAAGCTTTGTACCAGGACACAGTCGAGCACTAGCAGTGTGAGAACTGTATTTTTCCTGCTCTTTCAGGTAAAGTTTTTCTTCTGCTGTCACCTTAACATCCGCAAAGTTTCACAGGAGAAGTAGCTGATAGACTGGAATAAATGCACAAGAAGGACTGAATCTAAGAGGAAGCAGTACTAGAGATTGCTGTGCAGGACTCCAGGGGAGGTCATTTGAGATGGAAAGGGGTTGCACAGACACGGGTTATAAACTCCAGAGTGCTCAGTGGAATACTGGGGAGAGGTTCCAGAAAGAGACTGGACCAAGATTTGAGGAGAAGGTTGGAACCTATTTGACAAGGAGATAAAAAGAAGGCTAAGACTCATAAGAGAATCTGGACTAATTTTGTGGGACCTGGTAGAAGATAGTAGGGTTGGGGATGAAGCCTGGGCCAATGTGTCTTGGACTGAGGAGGGCTAGAAGAGCAGAAGCCAATTACAGTGGGGAGGAAAGACTGGCTTTTGAAAGAAAAGGGAAGGAGGGAAAAGAAGTGAGGATTGGAGGGGAGAGGACCAATATGTCCTCTTCCTGCTCCCAAACTGCAAGACTGCAGTGGAGTCCAAGATTTCACCTGGACATGTAATGTTTCCCTGCTGCTGCAAATACCCATTAAACTCTCTGGTGAAGTAGGAAGATAGCAACCTGCTATTGCCATCGAATGAGGAGTTAATTCAAATGGTGAAGATGCATGTGGCAGGCTGAAGGGAATTTTTTATTACAGTCTTTTTCCAAATGTTATTTTTGTTAAGTGAGGAATCTGAAAGTGGGGCATGGGGACCCTCTTCCAGGAGAATGTGGAAGCACTCCAAAGACAGAAAATACCAAAGCAAAACATAATAATCTCCCTTCCCTCCTCCCTGGGTGCATATTTAAGCATTTTCCTCCGAAGAACATTGTTTTTTTCTGTGCATGGAATAAATCTTGTCCAATGCTGAACTGTTCAGTAAATGAGACTGTCATTTGCAGAAATGCTGCTGCATCTGTTGCAGAAGTTATAATTGTCTAGTGAATAAGGAAGAGAGAGGATGCTCTCAAAATTAGAGCAGTTGAATGCTACCCTGGAGAAGTGGGTTCTGACCCTGACTCTACCACAGAGTTCCCAAATGATGCTAGGCAAGTCCCTCTGAACAAACTTTCACAGGTGGTCACTTACTATATGTTCCTTATTTTTGGGATTTCTGAGTTCAGACCCTGGTATCTGATTTGCAGAAATGCTGAGCAGTACCAGCTGCAAGCAGAGTCACTGAGCCTGTCCTGAGCCCACAAACTGCCCACAAATGCTGAAATCTCTGAAACGTGAATTCTTAGGTATCTTATCTTGAATACACAAAAATAGTGGGTATTCTCTAATTTAATCACTTTGTGCCTTCATCTGGAAGGCAAAGATAAGAATATTATCTTCACATCACAATGTTCTTATGAATATAAATGTCTTAATGCTTATATAGTATTCATATGCTGTAATGGGGGAAGCATAAAAAAGTCTATAAAGAGGTTAGCAATTCTCTCTTGAAAGCAACATCTGACTGTGTAGTAAATAAGGTTTGGGAATGAAATCAGTAATGAAATCCCAGTGGCTAATTAGTCACTAAAAGAGCACTATCCCATATGTGCACGGAATGAAAGAAAGATCTCGTAGCAGAAACAGCTGGTGATCATGTCAAAACATTACCATAACACATGGACACAGTGAGGGCAGATTAGAGTTATACCAGTCAACTTAATTTTGCCATGTGGCAACTGACTTTTGATTACTTTATTTGTAATCTTCTTGTCCTTTTAAAGGAGGTTTTGCTGTGTGCACAGACAGGAGGGCTGTGGTTTAACTAGTTTCATACTTTAGAATACAGTCTCATCTTTGTTTTTCTAAAAAATTAGGGACTTCTAATGGGTCTTCTTTATCCTAGCTGAAAGGTGCTTTAGCAGCAATAGCAATTTTTTCCCAAAATGCTCTGAAGACTTTAGATTGAGGTAGAGGTATTCCTATAAAACAACGTTAGCAAAAATGCAACTAGCTAAAAATTCCTTCCCCTCAATTCTCAGATTCTCAGTATTCATCTCTATTTTTAAAATTACCAAAACAACAAAAGGTCAGATCAATTACAAGCACAAAGCACATACAACATACTTCTAGAAAGTTGTGGGAAGGGGAATCTGGGAGTGTTTACAGGTCAGAGATGACAAAAATATTGCTAGCGCTCCATTTGAGAGTGTCTAGGCTGAGTCTGCAAATAAATTTCCAAGCAATGCCAACCTCAGCAGCACCGCAAGGGAGTTAGGTTTACTAAAGAGCTGCTGTCTTAATTCAGACTTGAGGTAGTTATGAGATGTAGTTAGAGCTTGAGGTGTGCCTGTGGCTAAAAAGCCAGATCTTTGGCACATCTCCTTTCCTCATTCCATGGTTTCATTCAGTTTCTAGCTGTCCACAGTCTTCTAACACAAAAACAACATGAAGATCTTGATATGTATAGTGCAAAAAGAATCAATTTATATACTGATGAGGAACAAAAGATATTAGGTCATTTTTATAAGCAAAATAAAAAAGCAGAAAAAGAACATGGGTATATTTTCATCTGTGCATCATTTCAAAGTAAGCAGATTGTCATTTATTCAGTACTATTTGCCTACAGTTAAATATTAAGCATCAGTGATAATAAATCCCACAAGTGGCCTTCTAGAGTTCTTTCTTTGTTATTTCAGAGTACAAAGCCTGATGAAAAAGCATTTGTTTATGAAAATTACACAGACCAGTAATAACTTGGGAACAGAAAAATACCAAATGAAAAGACAATTTCTGAAAAAGTGTTATCAGCTTTGATTAAAATAATGTCTGTTGCAAGTATGGAATTCCCACGAGAATGCTAGGAAACAATTGTAAATCTACTTTTAGAAGACTTACATAACTCAGCATAATGTTTATTACAAATAAGTTCCTCTTTTCTTAATAGAACTTGAAACTTGCTAATATACAACAGCACCATTCTCGCAGAACAAAAACAATATTTCCACATTCTATGTTTCAGCAGATATGCTGGATTTATTTAAGACTCTTTTGAAGAAGAATTAAAAGCAATCACTACAGAAAAAATGCACAGAATTTATTATTATACAGAAATTATAAGGTATCTATCTACATAGGTAGGTAGCCCTTGTGTGGCAAAAGGGAGCACAAGGCTAGCAACAGCTCAGCTGATAAACGTGCTTGTTCTTTGTTAATGTAGAACATATACCTTGCACAGATCAAGCAGAGATAATCCAGCCTATCCACCCTATCCTGCTTGTTGGAATGGGTACCTGGGAAAAAATCTCTCTCATGGGTCATCTGAAAAAGGAACTGAAGACTTCTCTGAAATAATGCTTTTTTTTCTGCACCAGCAGTAAACTGTGTTACAAGGTATATTGTCTTCCTACTGGAAGTACTTCTCTGCAGAATGCCCTTTAGCTGATTAATACATTCCCCTTTCGCTGCTTCATTTCCAGTTAAACTATACATGCTTAAGTATTATGCATCATTCAGATCTCCCTTTGCCAAGCATCTATTTTAGCTGGGATTCTAGATAGCTGTTTAGGATAGAATAAATATGTTAGTTATACATCTTAGTATACTACTGCAAGAAGATTTTTGAAAGTACAGGTTGATACTTGCTTTTGATTTTATCCTTTTCTCCTTCTGTTGATCTCCTGTCACCATAAGTAGCTGCTACTGATCCCCAGATCATTTCCCTGTGATTTCCAGGTGATTTGTGACACGCTGCATGATCAATTGTGAATTAAGCTGATGAGCACACAGGAGAGTAAATGAACTCACAGAAGAAAAAGTCACAAGGAAAATTTAGAAAGTTTTCACTGAAACTAGAAAGTAGGGTCTAGCAGCTGGAAAATAAACTCAGAAGTTTACAACTTCTTGTAAAGGTAGTTTTAAGGGTTTGGTTTTTAAAATTTGGTTGGGATACCTGCCATATGCAGTTGACTGTCATATTCAAAAGCTTTGGGCAGAATGCCTGAGAAACATACCAACTCCTTTTGAAATCTACTGCCCTCTCCTATGGTGATAATGATCCTGCTTTTTCCTTGGTTTGTTCAGAGCCTACAGGTCTTAAATTTGTTGCAAAGTGTTGAAGAGCTTTCTAGGGCTTAGGGTGTCTGTTGCTTATTCTGTGGACTTTTCTGAACTGGATATCTAAAAAACTAGTTGCGTGTGGTTGTGAGTGACTTGAGTTGATGATCTGTTTGAACACTTCTCTCCCATCTTCCATGTAGGTTTGATTTTATAAAAATACAAATAATCTAGCCATAAAATTGCAAGGGTTTTTTGAACTACTATGTGCAGACACAGAATTTTCATTCATGGGTATTGCATGTTGCCGTACAACATACCTCTTCATACAGCTGGTGGAGACTGAGCAGAGGTAAGTCCTTAACAAAGGAATTGTGACACAGGGTTCAATAACTGTTCTGTTTCTTGAAAAATTGCAATTTTTAAAATCAGAACAAACTCTGAAAAAGTAATGAGGTTTTAAAAAATTTTGTTTTAATTGTTGGAACTGCTAATTTAAATGCGTGCATATTAAGCAAATATTTGTGATACAAAAAGAAGTGGTTTGGTGGCAACCCATACCTTAAAAAAATAGAATTGCTGTTCACAAACTGTCAACAGAGAGATCACTCCCATCAGAGAGTGGAAGGCTTGAAGAAGAAATCAGCAGGCATATTCAGATTCAGTATATTAGGACAGTACATAATGTATATAGCGGAAATGTGTCAAACACAGGCAAAACTGTTGTGAGACAACAAAAGGTTTCTAGACTTTGGCCCTCTCTATTTGCATGTTTCAACAAACTTTTTTCTTGTTTTAGTTGGTTCCCATGCTTTCGCTCTCCACCTTGCACAAGTTTCACCTTGGATTTCTATTCTTAATGAAGAGAAACATGATCATAAATACTTAGCTGAAATAAATTGACCTGTTTTTGTCCATCTGTCATAATGGTGGCACCTTCCCTGTCCTTTAAAGGAGTGTCTTTGTGGGCTAAAATATTGTTGCAGGTATAAAAATGGTCATGAAAAGACAATTGCACAAAACCACACAGAGAACTTGTTAAGGGCAGTCTGTATAGCTGTAGCCCACATATGTACTACCTTTTACACAGCTTCTCCATAGGAGAATCCAAATACCGTTGCTCATGACACGGCTCACTTACTGATCATACAAGGGTCATCACAGTATTAAGGGAGTCATTAACACCTGTAAGTTTAGGGTCAGGTGTTGGAATGCATGATTCAGTCCTTATAAGAAAAAAGCAGGGGAGACGTGATCCATATAGGAAAGAGGAGTCTAGAAAAAAGGTTCTTCAGAGGTTTCTGAAAGATGGAGGAAGCCAGTTTAGAGGGTTGAATACAATACACACAATACATTAATACAATCTGTGTGAATACATTACATTTTTGAGCGTATGAAGCTGAGAAGAGAAAAGCCTATGGCTCACACAATAAACAGACATTTGCACCTGCACCAACTAAATAAAACTTCAACAGAACAAAACTAGAGGTATGCCAATGAGAAACAGTGCCATCACTAACTATTAGTGCGAGTTTTCAGCCCAAAATTATTTTATTTTCAGAAGCAAGACTCCTTGGAACATTTTTATGCAACAAAGTGTACACAATACTAATTTTGGCATGTATCATTAGGCTGGCCTCTTCTTATAAAATAGACAGTTTGTCCTATATCCTGTCCATACTACATTGTTAGTATCTGAAAATAAGCTCAATCCTGAGGTAACAGTAGAAAATGAAGATTTACCCTACTCTTTGCAGAAGCTGCTACATCTCTAGGACAGCCAACAGCCCCACAGTCTGGTGCTACTCACGTACTGCACCAGAAATTAGTTTCCAGTGTCTTGCTGTCAATTTGTGTGTGCATGTGTCATGTGGAAAATTTTGGGATTGTAGGTGTAGGCTTGGCATGCAGAGATGTTGTTAGTTACTCCAGATTTCAGAAGTACAAGTCATAAGTCAAGAAATCAGAATAGTACATAGAAATAATATTAACACTGCTAGAAAAATATAACAACTACAGCATTTGTGGAAAACTTGTTTCTGTTGAGTGGGTCATCAGAGAGAATGGAGAAAAATTTTGATATTTTAAAGGTCTTTTGTGGACAAACTGGCCTCAAGACACACAGGGAGAAGTGTTATGGCTTTTACATCCGGCCTACAAAATACTCATATACCATCAATGACCACCATCCTTGGACAATTAATGGTACCCCCCTCAATATGATCGAACCTGGGAGTTCTAAGAAGTATTTGGGATTCTATAATGACCCATGGACTGCTATATCAAAACCAGAATGAATGGAAAAAGTAAAGGGATGGCTATACTGGACTGGAAGGGCCCCATTAAAACCATTTCAAAAAGCAGACATCTTGAAAGGATACAGTATTCTACAATTGATCTACTTAGCAGGTCAAGCTGACATAAAGACTATGTACCTGGAAACTCTGGACTTGACAATTTAAACAGCTGTCAAGGAATGGTTACATCTACCAACCAGCACTTGTGATTCCGTCCTATATTGCAGCACCAGGGATGAAGGTTTGGAGACTCTCATGGTTGGTCCCCAGTGTAAAGCTTGACAACTAAACAGAAATGCACAGTCTTCAGATGAAGCTATAAACACAATTGTATGGCAGGAGGGCATTGAGAAAGGATTTGAAAAATTATGGGTTACAGCAGGAAGACATAAGGATAAAATACCATCAATATGGGATCTGAGAGTGGTTAAGGTAGTATCAGAAGAACAAGGCAGAATACCAGAATGGGAGGTATCTACTCTGAAAACTGTTTTTTCCAAAACCCTGTGACTTGCGGAAACAAGAATCTGTGAATTGGACCAAGCTGCTTCCCCAGGGCTGTGGGATTTCCAGCTCTGAGAAGGACAAAATCAGTAACAACTGGAAGTTAATTACAGAGGCATTCCACACAGAAAGTTACTCCTGGCTTTACAACTGAGACCTAATGTATATCCTACAGGAGAATTTCTTGAGGGGCTGACAAGAGACTCAAATTAAATCATGTTGGAATTGTGAGGCAGAATATGAAACTTTCTCCCATATTATTGAATAGTGTCCTATGATAGAGAACATTAGAATTAAAAGACATAACCAATTATGTAAACAGTTGGCTGAAGAGTCTAAAAAGAAAGAATGGACACTATTTCAAGAACCACTATTAAGAGATAATAAAAATGAATTCTATAAACCTGACCTAATGTTTATTAAGGGAGCCAAAGCTTTGGTGGTAGATACCACAATTAGATATGAAAGTAAATTGGCATTGCTAGCTGATGCAGCACCAGAAAAGGTAAAGAAATACAAATATCTTAATAGTCAAATTCAGGAACTGGTAAATGCAGCTGTTATTAAATATATTGGACTTCCTTTGGGTGCATGTGGGAAATGGTATTTGGGCAATTAGGAACTGTTAACGGAATTGGGACTCTCAAAATCCTGACAGCAAAGAGGTCACGCATTGACTATCAAATTGGGTTTCACCAGAGAACATTCTAGCTCACAATTGTGTCTGCATCTGACTCATTCTGCCCGTCTTCCTTATAACATCTTCCAGAACAGACAACAAAAAGCTAGGAGCTTCACCATGCTAGCTAGAAGGGCTAAAGCAGATAGATGGGTTGGGAAGTTGGGGCACTATTACGATAATGGATATTTTAAGGATGTGTACAAAAATTCACAGGAAGACCATTAAATTACAACATTCTGAAGATCAATGCATGCAGGATTATGAAATGATGCCACAATTCAAAATAACATAATTATCTATTGGTTGTTCCTAAAATACATTAGTCTAATGATTGACACTTGCAAATTTCTTGAGGAAAGTCTTCATACGACAATACATCAGATGTTAGCAAAGGTGGGTCACTGAAACTGCCGTACCTGAAGTCCCACAATTATTAAAATTCTATGTGCTCTGCATCCAGCAGCTCTTCAGAAACCACAGGAACTGCTTAAAGGGAGCTTATTAGAGGCCCAATGCACAAAGCAGTCATAAACTGTAGGTAGAATAGCTTATATGCAATTATGCTATAACGGCATTTAAGAAAACAGTTCCAGCCTTACCTTTAAATAGGGTATTTGAAAGGTGGAGAGGAGCCATTTGCTTTGTCTGCCCTTGACATCTCATGTAACCCATTCTTACATTGGAGGTACTTAACTTTACAAATGAAAACTGACTTTTCCATTAGCAGAAAATCCTTCTGCTTGAGAAAATACAATTTTGCTTATATAATTCATAGGTGAGGAAGTTCTATCAAATCAAAGAGGTACTTTTTTTCTTCCTGAGGAACATGCCACAAAACAAACTGCAAGAAACTTGTGTGAGAAGGAGTAACCTATGATTACTTTGGGCATGCATTCAAGGATAGGAAAGTACTTAAATTCAAAGACAGCTCTGCAAACCTTCTCTCTACCTCAGTTATTGGCTGTTTTCCTAGTCTCACTTTTGTTTTCATGATAGAGATAGAATGATAGCTCCACTCCAGAGCCTCAAAAAACTCATTCTACCTGCAAAGAAGGAACAGCAATGTGATCTTCCCTGTGATACACACCCCGACACGCTGGAATGGATTGCACTCATGTAAAGCTACCTGTAAACATGCATCTCCAACCTCGACCTTACAGTGCTCTTCTTTCTACTTTTCCCTCTATGAGGTTAACCTCTGCATTGGTATAGCCATGGATACAAATTTTATGATGAAAGAAGTGCCATGTTCCTGCCAAATGAGTGTTGTTTTCCAGAAGCATGAGGAAAAAAAATGTGTGCAGGACTTCAAACAGCTACACACAATAATGCTGGGATGGGTATTTGAGGTGTAAGAGGTAGGGAATAAGGTAGGTAGGATGGACTTGGAGCACTGGACAGAAAAATATAAATGGAGGCCTACTGGGGAGAATGGGAGCTGTCTAGTACCATACTGGTTTAAATGCTGTTTGTGAATGTGGGAGAGTACCCTAAATGTTAGTTCAGTCAATATATCTCCTACTGATGTGGCAGCAAAAATACCTACTCAACAGTTTGAAAAAATTTGGCAACACACCAAAATCATGAGGCTTCCACCCCTGTTCTGAACAACTCAGGGATGAAAAAGCTCAGTTTGGGTTTGGGCCAGATGACCTCCTGTGGTCCTTTCCAACCTCAACTGCTCCATGACTCTGTCAGTTCTCCTCTCTGGTGTGTTATCTCTCATTTAGAAGTTGCCAGTTGACAACTTTAAGCAGCAAACGTGGCACCACAGAGGGGACTCAGAGAATTGCAGAGCAAGAAGACATAGCACTGAAACCTACTATTTGGAACAGAATGTGTTGCAAATAGAAAGCAGTAAGGAAAAGC